AGTATCTCACTAATTTCATTGAACATAAAGATATTTGCAAGAAACGTTTTAAGGAAATGCACCCAAAGAATATCCTTGACATGGGAGATAAAGAAAATGGAATAAGAAATGAACCTTTTTTTGTTGAATGTTATAATTTATAAAATAAAAAAAGAATTGCATTGGTAGTAAAAGAACTAAAGAGCAGAATGGGATCAACAAAACTGAAGTCAAGAGTTTAGTTGCAACATGTTTTGATATAGATCTGTACACAACTAGGGGTATTATTGGTATAATCCTTCACTCTAGAATGTATCTAGGCATGGGCCGTTAAGATGGCAATGCGCCACAACATGACATCTAGAGTTTCATAGCTACCAGGAAAACCTTGGACTCCTGAAGGTTGCACCCACTATTAACTAGATCATTAGCTACATAGTTTCCTTCAAAGGTATTTAATCAAAGCTTTCGAGTTGCCTTCAACCCATATTCCTGATGGGATCAATTCCAAGGTGGGGGAGACATCGTGAAGAACACCTTGACTTCTTCTTCAATGTAGGTTTGGTGAGACAGGATTTTTAAACAAGAAATCCACAAAATTCATCCATTATTGGTAAATTAAGAGTTCAATGGCCATTGTTCTTTGATGCGCATTGGGCTGGGGTTGTCAGTCTTTTCAAGCTGATGTTCTCTATGATTAAGGCGCACCATGGCTTTCAACCTCTCTGCCTTCTTCTTTGCTCTCCAAAATTCTAGAGAAAAAGAATTTATAAAGGGGATGTTTTTTTTGCTTCTCTCCCCAAACCAGAAGGCCCAAGTGAAAGTTAAGAGGCTAAAAATGGATGTCCCTCCTTTTTGTTTTTCTCTGGACACCCCGGAGTAATCAAAAGGCTTTTATTACTATATTCAAAATAGAGGGCATTTGGGTCAAATTGTGACATTGCTACTTTGAGTGACGTTCGTGCAACTATTGTACCATGGCCAGATCAACTGCCGAAGTTGGTCCAAATTTTGTAAGATGATGATTTGGTCCAAATCTTGTAAGATAATGATTTAGGGTTTTCTAATGTGTTTCAGAGTTATGAATACCACTTCTCTATTCACTGAGGAGACCTTTTATTGGACTTTGTTCAAGATTTTTGAGAAACGAGAGACCTCAGAGAGGTGATACTTTTGAAAAACCCTAATATACATGAGAAGCCCTAGTTTTTCTCTTTTCTCTAAAGACTCTAAGCGTAACCAAGAACTCCTAAAAACCCTAATCAATGCCTTTTTAGCCCTGATTAAGCCAAACTCTAGGATAGTCGGTTCCAATTTCAAAGATCTCCAATCTTCCAACCATTCATTCTGGTAATAGAAACCTTCAATTTTTCCATACAAATTTATGTTCACGCAATCTTCAAGTTGGATGGAGAGAACCGATTTCAATTCGATCAATCTAATATAGGTCCCAACTTTGGTTCCAAGGGCTATGGGCCTGCCTTGGTAAAAATTTTCTCCCTTTTCTCGTAGTTATGTTCTTTCAATAAATATGTTATATATATGTACGCGGTTTGCATGTGGCCAGCCTGCATATTGTAGAAAAGCGAGCTTGGCAATAAATATATTTTTTAAATATAATTTGATCCTAATTTTAGAGAATATATAATATTTAATATGGAGATCATGAATATGAAAAACAAAATAAAATTTGAAAACTAGAAATAATAATTATATTAAGAAAACATTTGGACCGTTAGTTACAATTGTTTTTAAATAGATCACATATTTGCATCCATCTTTAAGATAGATGCTTTATATATCTGGACCGCATATTGTAGACATGCAATCCAGCCCAAATGAAAATACGCATGAAGATGGACCATCTGCAAGACAAACTTTAAAGGTGCATCAAATGATAAGTAAGAAATGGGTTTACAGTAGGCATTTCAGTTGGACCAGGCTAAGGCCACCAAAAGAGTTCTGGAAAAGCAACATCAATCCAAAAATTCTACACATGTAAAACACTTACTCTCCAAAATCTAACATCCTTTGGCCCCACGAACATCTAGGAACAAGGTTTCAAGAAGATCAGAACATTGCACTGTCACAAATTGAATTGTTCATCTCTATGTGTGAACATCATCAAAGCTATGCCCCTTTCGCTTGTCTTCGAGGCTTACACTATTTTTCCCTTGACAAAAAATGAAGCATGACTGCCATCTTTGGACTCTGCACTAGCAAAAGGATTTGAAATAAGTTTTGAAATCATGGCCATAAAACTTATTAAAAACTGTTGTGTTTCCTTGAGTTGGGAATTATTACATCTCACAAAAAACTAACCTAATTAGTTATCAATTAGATGGCGATCCTCTTGTCCACAATGTAATTTAAACTGCGGCAAGGTGTGAGCATTTGCTAAAGGGTAAAAGATGTTTAATGTGCTTA